GATGGCTGCAAAGCACTCTGCACAGGGCTGCTCTTCAAAGCCATTCAGAAGCTGCGGCTTGTGCAAAATGTGGCAGCCAGATTAATAAGAGGGACCAGACAGTCCAGGAGCAATTCCGCCCCACACGCACTGGCTGCCTATATGCTTTCAAGTCCAAGTCAAGGTGCTTGTTCTAATCACAAAATCCTTTACAGCTTGGGATCTGGATTTTCTTACCTCAAAAACCCTATGACAAAACAATCCAAAAGACAGCCTCTCAACATCACCATCAGAGGTGGAAAACATCAGCATAACCACCATAACCAGCATTACGAGTTTATGCTCCAATAACAGATGCCGAAGACAAAGAAATCAAAAATTTTTCTGCAGGTATTCAAGAGGAAATTTATAATACAACGAAACAAGACAAGCTGCTAATCCTAGTGACTAGAGTGCAAAAGCAGGAAACAAAGCAGAATCAAATGCTGTAGGAAACTTTTACAAAGGGATAAGAAACAAACAGGAGATTGACACAGAAGCTAGAAAATATTACCAGTGGAACCATAGTGCCAACATATAACTTACATAACATCTACAAAGAATTTAACATCCACATAAAGAACAGATCTGCATGGCTCAGCTTAACTGACCGTGAGCCAGAAGTTCTGTGGACTGAAACCAGAGACATTATTTGGGAAGAATGCAAAGAGATACTTCCTGTAGCAACAAGAAAGAAAAGGCCTGTACAGATGACGGAAGAACACTCACAGTTGCAAAGGACAGGTGAGAGGCAGAAGCAAACCAGTCAGAATCCGGAATACAACTTTCTGGCAACTCTCATGTAGAGAGAGACAAAAAGAATTATTATAACGATGGGTGCAAAGAAAAGAGCAACAAAACTGGCAAAACAAGAGGACATTTTGGACACAGGATTTTGGAGGTCCTTCCTTCATAGGGTTGCCGTAGGTCGGAAGCTACTTACATAACAAGTGGCAGGAAGCGGTTCTACAGGGTTGGCTCCCACACACGGCACACGCTATGAAAGGGAGTTCTTCTTCTGCACATGTGCATTGCAGGCTTTGTACAAGGATAACTCAGGGCAAAGTAAGGGTCCACTGGCATTGGCAAGAGAGTGTGGACTTGAACTCAGCTCAGCCTGTTTTCTAAGCCAGGGCCAAGCATGAGAAGATGGTCTGGTGAACACAAGGGAGCCAGATTCTTGTAGGATTTTCACATCTCTATATTAATTATTGTAGCTTTTAAAACTGATTTTAAAGTTTCTAATATAGTTTTGATGATGCTTTTAACATAGCCTGCATTTTATAATGTGATTTATCTGTTGCTGTAAACCAGCCAGGGAGCTTTGGCCATTGGGAGGTATATAAATAAAAAAAAAAAAAATATTAGCAATTATAATAATATGCTAGAGAACTCCTGTTCTTGGACCTCTATTTGCCCCTGAAAGTCAAGCATGAATGAGTGTGCTTAGCTTTCATCCAGCCTTACTTTTCTAGAGTATAGACCTTGTGTTCAGGGATGCTTTTCTTCTTCAGATTCACTTGCCACTCATGGGATGCCCTGGCCGAGGCCATTAGATTTGCAGATGCAATGTCAGCACTTCCACCAACATCACCCTTCCCTTTCCGAGTCTCCTTGTCCACAACAGTGTATGGGCCTGATTCACGGATATCTGTAGATAAAGATGAAGAAAGGAGTGCTAGGGAAAGAAGAGCCCGTAGAGGAAGAGGACACCTATTCAAAGGCAGCGGAAGATGGACCGCTTGGGCCTACAATTGAATGTTGTGGTGGGAAGTTCCATGTTCCCATCAGCCACATCCCAACCCCACCTGATTTTCTAGTCACCGTCCCCACAAGAATCAGTCAACATCCGATGGCCATGGTACATGCTCCTCATGGGGATGCTGCATCCCCCTACACCCCAGGTTCTTTTCTGAAGGTATTTTGTACTCTTGAACCCTCCTGTTCCCTTGTGCATCCTCAGGCCTGCCGATGCTTCCCTCTAGTTCTTGGGTGGGGTATTTTGGCTAGGTGAGAATCCCGACTCAGCTCTGACCTATGGAATTAGAGGCAATGTGGGTGTCACAAACAGGCAAAACGGCCCATCTTAGCCATTACCTAGGCTTGCAATGTTGTCTCTTGATAACAGCACATCCTCCAGCTTGTAGGAGGTTTTTCTGAAGGGGCAGGTCTGCCATGGAAAAGTCTTTCTCTTCAACTGAACCAGGCTCAGAAGTCTGAAATCTTCATGGTCTGTGACATTTTGTAAATGGTTCCAGTTTCCATTTGGGTCCAGTTGCTTAGTCCAAGATTTGGTTGCTTTATGGAATGCCATTGCAGGGACTTAGGCAAATGTTACAGGGTGGGTGCTGTAAGTGATAAGGAGAAAAACAAAATCAAGATTAGCAATCCATTGTGTAGTCCATTCCTCTTGCTTTTAAATTTAAACATTTGTATAAATGTTGCACTTTGATGAACTGCAGTTTTGAACATGATTTTACTGAATAGCAAGGTGGGTCAGTTTAATCATCAACGGCCTTTCTACACATGGCTTTTCATGTGCCACTTGGCTGAGACTTCTGCTCTTTGTCGGATTAAGATCCGGTTCCTTTCTCATGAGTCTTCTTTTGCTGCTGTTATGCACGTTCCATTGCAGACCCACTAGCTGGCATTGTGGTATAGCAGAACTGCATAAAAGCACTAGAGTTTCGTGCCACCAGTGAGATGGTGCCCGGCCCTCTTGAGGGTCATCAGCCTGGCACATGCTTTGCCCTCCTCTGGGAACTCAGTCAAATCAGCCCTGTTTGCCTGAGCATGTGGTGATCAATTACTCTGTTCTCCTGAACTGCTCCTGGAGTTTTCTTCTGGTGTTTTCCTTTCTCCTTTTTGCACTGGTTCCTGCTTCTCATTGGATTGGATGGCTTCCATAAATGCTCCAGGCACTGTTTTATTATCCTGCTTGTCGATTGCATGATGGCACCCAGACTTAGTCACAGTTGGAGTAAACCGAGTGGAATTAGTGAAGTGGGTGCTGGTCATGCTGTTCCACTGGGTCCTATAGGCGCACTCGAAGGATGACTGAGTCTGCGTGCCATCATGTTTACATGCAGCTTTACTGGCTGCCTATCATATTGAGAAGCTCATTGGCTTGGCTTTAACAATTATTTCTCGTAGGCCACTTTAGTTACTGTGTATTTGGAGTGATCATTAGCCAAGCATAGAAGTACATCAAGCAGCTGTGAAATCAAGCCTGGAAACCCCACCTAAAGGAGGAGTCCACCCAAGGACCTTGTTCCAGGGGCTCGTCCTGCTGCTGTGCACCCTTTGTGTGAGTGCCATGATCATAAAAGCTGCAGCACTGGCTCTGCACAACTTGGGAGTGCACATCCTGTTTTGGAAGGATGTTTTTGACTGGAAGAGTCCATTCTGGCTGTCTGAACTGGGGGCAGTGCTGCGGAGTGGATGGGGTCATGGCAAAGGGGGAGGTTTGCCTCTGCCAGAATGATTTTTGACATGCTCCTGGTGGAGCATTTGCATGGGAACAGAATTTATTCAACCCAAGGGGAGGGAGGCAGAAGTCGATTATCAAGGTATCACTCAGAGGCAAGCGCATCCTCATACAACCCCCCACCCGCCAGGGACCTTGCCCCTGCCCTTAACATGGCCAGAGAGCCGACTTGTAGAGGTGGGGTGAGTCTCAAGCCAAGGAGAGGAGCTGGGTGAAGTTTGCTTCAGAGCCTGCCCTCCAACACTCCCAGCAGCTGGGCTCTCTGAGGTATGGGAAAGAACTCTGTGCATGCTCAGAAGCAGTTCCCTTCATCAACCCTTCACACCTTGCTCTGAGCCTGAGAACCAATTCTGTGGTGCTCCTGCAGGGCACTCTGGAAGGGATATTCTTACCCTATGGAAGGTGGACCTCAGTGTAAGACTGTTCCTAGCAGCTACATCTTTGGCGCTATCTCTAGCTGAGAGTATTTGCAGGGTCCCGATTTGCATCAGAACCCTAAATGAGGGATTAATTGATTGCAGAGAAGGCAACCCTACGCTTTGCCACATGGTGGCCAACAGTCCTTAAAGGATGAAACAGTTTGAAATTGCATGAATGATTCAGAGAAATTGCACCATGAAGGCCTCATCTGGAAGCAGATCTGGTCATTATCGGACCCTCGAATGTCTTCCTAAACAGCAGCATGAACAACGGACTGTCTTTTGAAAGAAGTTTCAGCACCTTGATCCCAGCCACCATGATCCACTCAGTCTTAATACCAGCCATCCCTTTCCTGCTCCTAAAGGAAAACTTTAGAATATTACCTGTGCCGTTGGCTGAGCTTGAGATGCAACCGGTTCAACCTATGCAGAGAAACACACTTCTAAGTCTGGAAGCTGGATGGATTCAGCTGTTACACCTTATCCAGAACACACCCGATAGTCTACTGCACTTTGGCACATTTGGGTAGGACTGTAAGAACGGGAATTTTCTTGGGGAGGAGTCAGAGTGGTGGCAGAGTGAGAGAGTACCTGGCACAAGGTATGTTTCCTTTTCTCCTTCTTTGGAAGCATACAATAGATTATTACTTCTCCTCAGAAAAGGTCAAAGTTTGTTGGCACGATAAAGTTCCTGGCCGTGATTTTGATATTCACTGGTATTATAAAAGAAAAAACGAATCATTCACAGATTAGATCTGCATGCTATTTCTGATTCCGGGAAACAGGTGCAGCATGGATACCAAGATGCCCAGAATTGTTGCAGGCCGAAGCAAACCAGGATAAGGCCCGGGACGCTGCTTCGTTGGCCGCCTCTGTGGTGGACCCACTGGGGTCATTCCTGCAGCCCATAATGGTGGAGAGCTGGCTCTCTCCGTTCTTCCGGTTTCCATCCTGCTCAGTGTCACTGCAGTGTCCCTCAAAACCAGCCCCCGGACTCCCCCATCTCAACTCGGAGGCTTCTGTTCGGCCCACAGAGGCCCTTTCCCCCAGGCCCCTTTGGCTGTCTCTCCCGTCCTAGCCCAAGGCCCTCCCCATCCGACTCGCCAGAACCATTCTTAACCTCCACTCCGGGGGTGATGCATCGCAAACAATGCACCCCCTGCCTCTGTGGGCCTTTCCACTCCGGTTCAGGGGGAAAGCTGGTGTGCATCCTCTTCGGAGAGTGAGCACCAGCAGTCTGCTCCCCTTTGCCTTGAGGCAGAGGAGCAGACTTCCCTGGGGGTGGGGTGCGTGCCAAACTCCAGTTTCTGGAGAAGCGGCATGGGGCCACACGGCTTTTGGAGCCTGCCCTCCCAGCCCCCCAGCACAGTCCATGGATTACCCTGCATATTGAAATCGATGGAGCTATGGGCATCCCAGACGAAGGGACTCGCTTTGCACGCACTGGATTGGCTCATGGTCGGATCCTGACCAGAGCTGGAGATGTTGTGCTCTCCCCACTTGAGTCCAGCCGTTTCCACTGGCACCCGGAGGCCCTGCCCCTGCAAACTGCCCCTCATTTCAAGGAAATGAGATGTGGTAGGAATGGGGGACTTCAGTCCCCCAAAAGTAGCCCCTCCATGACATTTGTGATGTGCATGGCTCGTGACCCCCGTTATCTGTTCACTCTGTTCCCCTGAGGGGTACTGCCCCACAGCAGCAGGGAGGGGGATGAGGCATAGGACTGCACCCCACAGTCTATGCTCAAGTTATGCTCAAAATCCCACAAGCTGTGCTTCAGCAGTACAGTGGCACCTTGGCTCACGAACTTAATCTGTCCCAGGACTCTGGTCGTGACCCAAATTGGTTGTGAGCCAAGTTAAATTTCCCCATAAGGTTCAATGTAAATAAGGTCAATCCGCTGAAGAACTGAGGCCACTGAACTGTGGTGCTGGAGAAGACTCCTGAGAGTCCCCTGGGCTGCAAAGAAATAAAATCAGACAATCTGGGTGTTCTTTAGAAAGTCAGATACTGAAGATGCAACTCAAATATTCTGGCCACCTAATGAGAAGGAGGGACTCCCTGGAGAAGAGCCTACTTCTGGGAACGATTGAAGGCAAAAGGAGAAGGGGACGGCGGAGGTTGGGGTGGCTAGATGGGGCCACTGGGGCGGTGGGTGCGAGCTTGGGTGGACTCCGAGGGATGGTGAAGGACAGGAGAGCCTGGAGGAATGTTGTTCATGAGATCGTGAAGGGTTGGTCATGACTTAGCAACTAAACAAAAACATGCTTCATTAATTGGAGATTAATGAGAGAAGTGGTGCTTCAGGACCCCCCACCGAACCCAATAAAATATTCAGAATTGGGGAAGGGAAACATCTGAATCGAAACCTTTAAAAATAGCATGCCCAATCACTACCCAGGTTAGCTGGAACTGGCTTATTATTTAGCTACTAATTGTATTTCTTTTCCACCTTTTTTCTTCCAAGGAACTCTAGTCAGCTGATATAATCCTCTTCCTCCCCATTTCCTCCTCACAACCATCGTGAGGGTGAGGTTAGGCTGAGAGACCACGACTGTCCCAGTGTCAGCCAGTCCTGAAACCCTGCCAACCAGTTTGTTGGCAATGGCAATTCGAAGCCACTGGAAACAAACCAGCGGGCTTCCATTTTTGTGGCCACCAGTGCCAGCCCTCCCGTGAGCCATGTTGGACCATGCAGCTCAGGTGGCAGATTGGGAGGAGGGCTGGATCGCACACGTCGGCCACTGCAGCCGCCTGGCAATGGTCAAGAGTGTTTTGATTTCGAATGACATTGGCCGGGGGGAAAAGGTGGCGGTTGTGCTCCTTCAGGGCTCTCTGGATCAAATGCAAGGGGGCCCTCCTGGGGGAGCAAACAAGCATCACGTGAAACCCTTTCCTGGCAGCTACTTCTTTCCCTCCATGTTCAGCGATCGAGAGGGGCAGTGGCTCTCCTGGTGCTCGCCAGAGCTTTGCCAGGATGGTGCTAAATCTTCTTCCGAGTCTGAAACGGTCTGAAATTATGTCACTGAGGCGGAGCAACCACACCATAAAGGCTTTCTTTGGAAGCAGATCTGGCTGTTATCAGAGAAGTAATTCTCCTTTTCCACAGCAGAGTGAACAAAGAAGTTGCTCCGAAAAAGGTTTCAGTGAGAGTCCCCACCCACCACTTAGTCTGTTGGCTGTGTGGGATTCAGCGAGTGCGAACGGACAGACTAGAAGTTAGGCTGAATTCAGCCGTTCCAGGTACTGCAGGACACGCTCAGTCTCTGCTTCATGTTGGCATTGTGTAGCAAGTCTGCCCAGGTCAGCAGGTCTTGGGGGTACTAGGCAGTCAAGTGACTTGGCGGTCAAGCGAAAAACACAAGTTCCTCTGCTGACACAAGGAGTTTTTGCTTTTCGTCCGCTTTTAAGGAGCCGAATCATGCAGTTTCTTGCTGTTCCTCAGGCAGTGTAAGAACTTGCTTTTAATGTAATGTTCACTGGTGCTGAGAAAGAAAGACCCCTTCACTGGTTAGCTCTGTATCCTACTTCTGTTGCAGGGAGTCCAGGAGATGGAGACAACGCTCCTTGGAACTGTTTTAGCCATGACCGAAGTGCCAGCACCACCACCACTCCTGGGGACAAGGGCCTGCACACTGCTTTGCTTGCCACCTGTTTGGTGGGCTGCATGATCCCATTGGGTCGTTTCTGCAGTCTGTATCTGCAGGTAGTGGGATTCTCCCATTCCACCAGTTTCCCTTCTGCTCGGGGTCAGT